GTTCTGCACAGCCCTCATAAATCTCTCTCTAGCATCTGCTTCTCCGTGCAGGCCGTGCTTATGGGACATCTTTGGAGTGCAGCGAAGCTTGTTATCTCCCCGTTTCCATGACACCCTCTCTGAACCTGAAGCCCAAACCCTCCCCTCTGGGGAGTCAGGGGTCATGATTTTGATGGTACACCCTCACAACAAAGGAAACCCAACACCAACCCCCAGCTTCCACGGAGGAGCAGACCTTCATTGTTGTTACCGCTGGAGGGGAATGTGTCTGCATGAATCCACGTGTCCCAGTTCATGCGGAGCTGGCGAGTGGGCACACTTGGTGGACGGCATTTGATCTCACAGGCTAAAGCTTCTTATTGTGCCGTTGATCACCAACGAATATGATGCAACCAAGAAACAGTGGAGGAACACCAAACAATCACAGCCCCCCCGGCACGAAGGATAGTCGTCACTGCTGTCGCTTCCTGTTTGATTATTGTTAGATCAGAGAGGTATGGATGTGCTGCTTTATTAGCACAAGCCCCGCTAATACCATCCAGCCAATCAGGTGACTAATTACTGGCTTCCAGCACTATGGAGACAGATTGGGGTTAACGACCTTCTCTGGAGCCCGAGGGGACACAGCGACTGCATCTTTCGTGAATATGCAAATACACAGAGTACAAATAAGACAAAGTAAAATACAGTGTCTGTGATAGCTGAGCAGAAATTAGATTTTTAGTCGTAGGCGTTTAGAATTTGATGCAAAAACAGTTGATGCATTTAGTTGTAAAATCAGCTGTAATTTGCTCGAGGCGACGTTAAGTTAAAATGGGCTGATGCAAAAATGCAATCAAATCCTCAAGTACCATGTAATCAGAAATATTCACAAATGTAAAAGTATAATGAGGAAATACTAACTACAGTTTAGCACAATGGATAAATATTTTATCCCCATGACTTCACATGGATTCTCTCAAATCCTCCACACGAGGGGCTGTGAAGAGACGGTGCATCCATTTTAAATCGGAATAGGGATGTTTGACGAGCGGAAGGTGAAAGAAAATGCTGATGAAAATAACAGAGAAAATAAAACGAAGACAACTGAAAAAAAAAAACAAGAGCGGTCTGGAGGGGGAGACTGTCTGGATGCGCTCGGCTGGAACATTGTTCCCTGAGAATCTCTGTGAGAAAAGCCACTGAAGCAGAAAGGTTGAGTGTAGAAAGTGTGTGTATATGTGTGTGTGTGTGTGGCTGTAATTGAACAGTACAACCGTGGCTTGTTGGTTTTGGTCGTATCGTTCTAGGCCACGGTACGAGTCAGATAAAAGCTTTTAGAAGAAACTTGTCTGAGCTGGATATTAAAGAGACCAGTGGTGAGATGGGAAAAGAGGAAGTTGTGCAGTCACGGCCCAACGTTGCTGCTTTAATACAAAAGTTCAAGCCTTTAATCGATCGAGGATTTAACTATAGTGCTTTTATCTATGTTGCAGCCCCTGACTGAACGAGGAGCAGCCGTCCACGTGTTGATGGACGCAGACAGCAGCTGGCACAGACTTGTTTGGGTCACAAAGCAGGAAATGGGAAGGGAAGTCAGATGGACCAGGACCTGCTGACCTACACATGATGTCTGGCTCAACACAAACACACCCACACACACAAGGTCACAATAAATATAAAAACAAGGCCCTTGTCCTACGTTTCTTCCAGAGGACTGAGGAGATCAGCAGATAATCTCAAGAGTGTGTATCCCCTAAGAAACCATTAACATGTTTTTATCTGTGTTAAACAACTTCCAGAACTTTTCCAAAGAGACAATTCAACAACTTTTCCCATGACAATTGAGAATTTCCCCAACATCCGACAGTAAGATAAAGAAGAAGAGCAGCTTGTTTATTGTTCGAAAACAGAAACTAGAGACAAAAATACTCTGGTCAGGTGATTCAGCTAACAGGCTCCACTGACAACAGCAGTGTCCGACAGAGGGTGAGAAACACACACACACACACACACACACACACACACACACACACACACACACAAAGCACAGTGAAAGATCCTGACCCTGCATTCCATCACATTCAATGGCCCAGAGCCAGCGGAGGAATTCACCAGGATTGCCCACACTGCAGCCGGCCAATTACAATTCCACTGTCGAGGCATGTGGCCTGGACTGAAGGCTCTGTTCCGCACCTCAACAGGCTCCAAGCAGCTAAAAAACTCAACATTCACTCGGTCATTTCTGCGCAGGAGTGTGGACGTTGAGCCCCTAGATTTTCAAAGACGTCAACTTGGAATGAAGACGGGATGCTCGAGCTTCGCTGTTGATGTGATGAAAACAATAACACGTCATTTCCTGCCTCCTTCGCGCTCTACTTAGGCTCCACCCCTCACCTGAGTGTTTCGTACATTTTTCAGTTGTTGTGAACACGTCTACAAATGTGAGAGAAAAACTACTAAAATGTCTGATCCCAACATTCTGCACACTTCCCACCAGTTTGTGTCTGAAAACTGCTTTATAGTGCATCCATCGATTAAACTGGTTACATTACCTTGAATAATTCACATGTAATTCCCGATTTAACAACTACGCAAGGACACACATCCAGGGGAATATATTCCACTTCTATATCCCTAGATCACAGATGCATTACCTTCAAATTGCCACTAATGCAGTCAAAACAAGAGGTGGTGATCAGAATTAAGCTCGACAGCCCACGAAGGACGGACGTGTAATGGCCTAAATAGCGTCGCCTCTGCCTGAAATTGTGTCATTAGCTTTTGTGCTTCACAGAAAATTGTTCCGCAAAGTGGGAGCATTACGAGCTACGGTTCATCTGCTGGGGAAAAAATAGAGCTGGAGCGAAGTTTAGATGAGAACGAGGCAGAAAAGAAAACAAGGAACAAAAGCCAGAGAGAACAAGAGAGGTTGATGGTGGAGCTGACGGGGGTTTCCCACCTCTGACCGGCTGCCTGTGCGCGACTCCTCTCAGGAGGAGCTCTCCTGCTGAGACTCACAACCCTACCCTCCCTCACCCCATGGCACCGAGTCTGTCTCCACAAAGACACTGACAATGGATGGAAACTGGCTGCATGAGAGGAAGAAGAAAAACTCTCCCTCACTTTGCCTCTCTCTGCCTCCTCCTGATACCCGTGGCAGTTCAGTCATGCTGCCAGACGATATCTGGCAGAGCAGAGATTTATCATGAAGACTGCTGCCGGTGGAGAGACGGCAGCTCAAAGTGACGGTTGGTATCGCAGCTAAATGTTGAAGGTTTTTGATGCGACTGTTCCACAGATGATTTCACAAAAAGGAAAAACTCTCTGTTGAAATATATGGACGCACTCTAGCTCATGCTGGATAGACTCTGTACAGTTTAAGCAGGTTTTTGACCCAATTTCTGAGACGCATTTTAGAGTCAGACCAGATTTCAGCTTTGTCATGGGTTGTTTGTATCTGAGGGTACGAGGGTAACAAGGAGCCAGCAGGTGCCATCTTGTTTTCTTGAAACCAGAAGTAACCTTATTTGGTTCTATAGAAACCGACTCCTTTTTGCGACCAGTGGAGTCGCCCTCTGCTGGTCATTCAAGAGACCACATGTTTCAGACACTTGGCGTTGGCTTCGCTTTCCATGCCCAGAGTCTGCGTCCATTTTTAAATATAGTCTCTTGTTCATTTCAACACACAGAATGGCACATGTGGTCAAAACAGAGCATTCCTTCCTTGTTAGCATCGTGAAATCAAACAAATGTTTTCTTCTCCTTCTTCGACAATAGCCACACAAACAGAGTACAGGAAAGGTTAGCATTTTACTTTTGGCTTTCAGGGGTTGGTGGAGACCCAACATGAGGTGAAAAGAGAGGAATTCATAGACTTATATTTGCCAGGAGTTACGAGACATGATGGCAGGTAAATGCTAACATTACTCTGTATGCTAGATGCGTTAGCCACTTTTGCTAATAGTTTTGTCATATCAACTTAAAGGCTGAGCTCACAACTTGTTTACGTCGACGTCCAAGCAGCCTTACAGTCAGTCATTCTACATTGTTATGAAGTCCGTCCCTGACTCACTTGGACTCGTGACGGGTCCCATGACCTCACAATGAAGACTCTGCTGAAGATGATGAACTTAAATGTCACCCACTCTCACCATGACGTAACTGCACTGACAGGAGCTAATCTGTAACCTTGAAAGATTAAACAGTGTGATAATGAAACATTAATGGTGTTTGACAAGAAGGTCATTAGTCATCCAGCAGCTGATCCCTGTCAACTTTAAGAAGCTGGGTGAAACTGTCTGATGGGTCAGAGGGAACAACTTTGACTCCCAGAGCCGACATTCACCTACAGGTCTGCGTCCTGATCCGCCTCCAGAGACACAACTTATTTGTCCAACCTCAAAAATAAATGGCGAATGTGACAGACACCAGTTTTGAAGGCAGGAATCATGACTTCATGAGTGAAGGAAAAGCATACGACTCCATGATGCACAACCACTTCCCAACAATAAAAACATTTTTGGCTTCTCTTGCCCAACTTTTCCATTTTTAAAAATGATGCATTCAAAAGCATTATCGAAAATGTACCTGTGTGATAAAATGACTTTTGAATCATTGTAATCCATTGTCTGCCTTTTTTTGTGTGACAATTTTGGATTACATGAATTATTACTCAGCTACACTGATGTATTTTCTTTACCTTATAATTCCCCTTATAAGTTGCTAGTTTTGTTGAATAAAGTTTTTATACATTTGGACTCTGTTGGCTGATCTATGGAAATGGATGCTGCTGGAGGACACTTTCATTATGGGCCACCATTGTTATAGAATAAAGCAAACAGAGGTAAAACAAAGTGCAATGACAGAAAAACACTACACATTGATTTCAGTGACTCCTTCACTCCTAAAGTCATTAACTCAACTTTAGAGTATCTCACATTGAGCAGCCCTGTCTGGATACTGTCCCCCCCACCACCGTGGTTGGTGTCTGAGCTCCGGTCTCATCCTCCTGCACTGACCTGCTGGTAGTTCTCCTCCTCGGGCTGGAAGCTGTTGTCAATGGGCTGAAACCTCAGGTTGATGTGGGGGAAATTGTGCAGCCAGTAGGTCCACCAGGGCGCAGTGTAATCCACCCGAGACATCCCTGCCCCGAGGAACCACAAAGTTTGAATTAGCCTCCGTCCAGTAGAGCTGAGCAGCCGCGGATCCTAATCCAGCCTCATCTCATACAAAGGCTGCGGTGGAAGCGTGCGTGCTCGTCTAGTGGGAAACACGCACACTCCAGCCACGCATGAGCCCCCCCCCAAAAAAACCGCACGAGAAGTCCCCGCAGAGACAGAGGAGGTGCGGAGAAGAGGAAGAAAGAGGAAATCAGAGGGAATAATCACAGTGCGTCCATGTGTCCGTGTGCGTCCGCAGCTTCTGATCCGAGCGCACCACACAGCCAGCAGCGGGGGCGCGCACTGGTATAAAAAAAAAAAGAAACAACAAAAAAGAAAGGGGGGGCACGGGAGCGCGCAGAGAGAGCACACTGATTGTGTTTTATTCTGTCTGAGAATATAAAAGTGATAATTAAATACCCACAATGCCTCAGCTCTTTCATCATTATCATGTTGTTTCATTATTAAAGTGTCATTTTTTTATTATTCCCTCAGTGGAGTCAGCCACCGTGCTGCCATCTAGTGGTCAACTGAGACGATTACTATCAGTGACTACTGCGGGACAAACTAACACCTTTGTTTCATGTTCATTTTAAATTGCTTTTACCTTTATTTGCTTTATTTCCTTTTTATTTGAATATCCTTTATATCCAAATTTTCCAAAGCTACATCACCAAGGGTGGTTGAGATTTGACATGAGTAATACTTATGTATAAATGATTGCACATCAACCACTGAATTTTAAATTGTGTCAAACATATTTTTTTAAATTTTAGAAAATTGTTCTTTCCTCAAGCAGGTTAGAAAATACAAACTGTAAACTAAAGACTGGCAGGAAAAGGACACTTCAGGGGTCAGATTTCAGGTTCAGTGCTGCCATGGATCTGCCCCTGCACAGCATGTCTGTATAAAAGTGCTTTTAGTCATGCAATCAATATTTCATTCATGCTGTAACCGCCACAGTTAAAAGGGTAAAACACGGTGAATTAAACCTGTTTAATTATTAAACAGGTTGAATAAACAGAAGTTCTGATTTATTTGGACAAATGAGTAAATGGAAATTTTAAGGGTTAAACTTTCTGTGAAAAATTTAAACTCAAGGACATTTTCTGTCCTTTTCCAGAACATTCACAGGATCCTCAGAGATCATTGTAGTTAACTGGTCGCAGCATGAAAGCCACTGATGGGTGAAGTGAATAAAATCGACTGAATCATTAAAACAGCACCCATTAAAGAAGTGGGCTGAAATCAGGCTGCAGTGAACTGTCACTTCTTGATGTTAATGTGTTGGAAGAAGGAAAAATGGCACGAGGAATTAAAGCCTTTCTCCAAATTCCCCAGATCTCAGCCTGATTTGTGGAGATCCCACCTCAAAGCTTAATTCACCTTCAGGGGTCTTGTAGGGTCCAAGCCTCAAAGGGTCAGAGCCTTTTAAGTGACATAGTTGATACACAGATGGTTTTTAAGTATGGGACGATCAATGTGTAGTTGTTAGTAAGTGTCCAGGGCAGAACATTAAAGTTATCCATGTTTCATTGCAATACTGACATCTTGTGGAAAGATGTCAGTATTGCCATGTATGACCTGTTTATATGACCTTTTTAAACAAACTGCGATCACACACTTGACGACACCAGTCCCCCCCCCCCCCCCCCACTCTGTTTATGTTGTGAAAGTACAGCAGACAAACCACAGACAAGTGACTTAGTTTTTCCCGTTTTTATTACAATTATCTGTACATCAAGGATTTACTTCAGCTCCTTCACAGCCAGACCTGGAGGGAGAAAGACAACGGGTTAGAAATGAACATCTTCTGCTTTGACTATTGGACATGAACATACTTGAGAAGCTGGACGAACTGATCATCCGACAAACCAGCATCTATACTTTAATTACTTGTGCAGATGATTGACAGTTTTGTACATGAAGCTTTAGGTGTGTTGTAAATTGACGGAGACATTGATTGTCAAGTAAATACCTTATTGAACGCACACAACTCCAGAACATATCACTGAATTCAACGAAGACTAACGCCTCGGGCAAGAACTTCATTGTCAGCTATAAGACAATTATACATATACTGATAACTTTAAACACTTGTTGACACTAGTTTATGTTTTGTTACCCCAGTCACCAGAGACATTTCGGTGCTTGTGGCATGTATGAAAATTAAGAGATGCCATGATGTTGAAATTCTCCCACCAGAACAAAAATTACAGATTACATTGGCTGTTTTACAAGAAGATGTGTCGGCTCAATGTCTGTGGAGCGATTACTTTGAGCTACAGGCAGCAAAATCTCAACAATCTCACTGGCAGGATTTGTTTTATTTGATGATTGTGGCAGCCGCCAAATGGCTTTTATGTCTATTAATAAATGGAATAGACTGAGGCCAGTGGGCAGGTTATGTAATCAGTGAGAGTCTGAACACAGTGCAACAAAGAACCAAAGCAAATCTAATGTGCATCCATTAACACTTTCTGGTAGATAAAGACAATCTCAGGAATATCTTAAGACAAACTCCTGAAGATTTAAGAAAATGTTCTCAACCAAGAATACGTTCTCCTCACTGCTGTGTCTCAGCTCTCATGTGTTTAACACGGTTATTTACTCAGTGACACTGACCTGGGGGCAGGGACTGTTTGAGCTTCTCGGCCTTCTCCTTGTCTGTGATGACCAGCGTGTACAGGTACCTGCTGCAGCGCACCTTGAACTTAACATTGTCCTTGTTCTTCTTGATCTTTACGGCTGCAGACACAGAGAGAAAGAGAGAGAGGGAGTCAGATTTTAATCATGTAGCCGATCATCACTGATCAGTTTCAGTCTGTTCACCTCGGCATGCTCACTGAAATAAACTTGGAGGTTTGCTTTACTTATGCATATATCAGTTGATCTAGAAAAGAAATGCCTCTGCTAATATCGTGGGAATTTATTCAACTGTTAAAGATATGTGACATGACAACTGATAGTCGAATACACACATAATGGACAAATAAGGATCTTGATCATTAGATGTGTGTCGGTCACACATGCTGCTCTGACTTGCATGCAGGTTTTCATCTGCATGTGCACTTTATAACTTCATTTAAACCAGCATCACTATAATCCACGTTAACCAGCAGTGGGCTCAGAGATGAACTTACACTTGGCATCCTTCCTCCTGGCCGTCAGAAGGAAATCTTTGATTTCTTCTATCTTGCGAGGCTAAAAGAAAAAACAGCAAACATCCTTCAGACGGAGTTTCACATCTCAACATGAACACACTGAGCAGAGAGAGGGGGGATGTCAGTGGACCGGTGGAACTAGAGTTTCTGTGGAAATGAACCGAAACCCAGCACTAGGTCCATCCTTGATCTTGCAAGCTTGTGAAATGCATCACCGGCACATCAGCCTGGGATGTTTGGACGTCTTGCTAGCGGCTAAAACATCTGAAAACCCCCGGTCAACAGAAGAGGTCGACCACCAGGTCTGGAGCCAGAGAAGCGAAAACTAAACGTGACGCACTGTTTCATTAGCGGCAGATGCCTCATAGAAATAAATGAACGAATATAACTGCGGGTCAGAAACACAGCGAGGCCGAGTGGAGCTAACGATTTAGCACCAAGCTAATGCTAACACACCGAGGCTAGTCGCTTCGCAGATCGTTCACCGTTTCCTGCATCACAACAAACGGACGGTAAACATCCCGATGTTCGCTTGAATCACGATATCACACATTGAAGAACGAGAACACGTGGAATCCGAGAGGTTTGATGTTTGAAAGTGAGTATGTTCTTACCATGCTGCCGGACTGAGCGCTGCGGGGGGAAGAGGAAGATGGAGTCAGATTATCGGTTTAAACATCGGGGAACAAAAACAGAAGGAAACACAATATTTATATCATCGAGTAGCTTCTGACGAGCGTCGTTAAACGTCGACAGAAAGATGGAGGTGGAAGTTAGTGAGAAACAAGATGGATGATGATAGAAAGTGTGAGTTTGTTTGCGTGAGAACGTGAAACTCACTCACTCTGCCGGAGAGGGGATGAAGAGGGGTTGAACTTCCGGTTCAAAGTTGTTTTATACCCGCGTACGGCAGCCACAGAGGGTCAAAGCCAAACCGAGGAAAAGCGAAGTGCCCCGGTGGAAGGTCTGGGGATCATCTGAGAGAGAATACGTCATCTCTATAATATAATATAATATAATATATAAGATATAATATTTAAAATAAAGAATCGAAGAAAAGTATAGTTCTAAGTAAAGATGCAAAGTTTTGCCCAATAATACATTTTTGTCTTTTAGGAGAAAAGTAGTTTCATCCACAGCATTATTATTATGACAATTATTATTATTATTATGATGACAATTATTATTATTAATGTTATTATTGTTATTATTATTATTATTATTATTATTACTATGACAATTATTATTATTATTATTATTATTAGTAGTAGTGGTAATATATTCGGAAGGTCATTAGTATTAGTATCATTTGTTGTGTATCTTCAAGGATTTTAAAATAAGTAGTTGTAAGTAGTTCTACATTAAATACAGAGGACATGATCATAAGTAATACTATTCTTAAATATGGCCCTGAGACATCAATAATGAAGTGGGTAAATGATATATAAGAAGAAAGAGGATGGTTGTGTCCGTGCTCCAGGTTAATCTCACAGCCCAAGGTCAGGACTGCCTCAGGGTGCGGAGGTGCTCCAGTCGATAAAGGAAGAAAGATAAGCAGCTGAATCAGAATCTATTCAATGCAAATGTAAGAATCATCTGATTGTTGAAATACTTTAATTTAAGTAATAATTATGTTCCTTCTATCAGTTTATTTCTTCTAATCCATTTTACTTTATTTTTATTCTTGTCTCCTTTCTTTCTCCTGGTGAATAGAGAGGCCGAAAACCCAGAGGTGAATATGTTTGAGCGAGCAGACATTTGGCATCTTATTCAATTCAGGGCCGAGCATCGAGCTGAGGGAGACCTGAAAAAAAAAAAAAAAGCTTTGCATTTTGATTTGATTGTTGCCTTGGAAGATTTACGAAATTTCCTTCAACCCACAATTTGTTTTTCTGCAAAACTTGCTGTGTTGAGCTTTTTGTGGAATTTACTCTGGCAGGTGTTTCCTTCAGTTCCAGACTAACTGCAAATTATGGCTGTTCATTTCCCCCCCCCCCAAAAAAAAAGAAAAAGAAAGAAAGATTTGCCGGAGAGCTTCTGCGACTGCACACATTACCACCACACCTGCTGACTTATGAGTTCAATTATCTTTTGCCGTCAGGATAGATAATCCAAACGGTGCCAAAATA